TCTGCCAACGATTACAAGTTAACTTCAGTGACTCTGCTAGTGCTCAGGAAAGCTAACGAGACCCTAGTTTTCACAGATCCTCTTCAAAACCCATTGGACAGGGGAGACGCTAACAATATCAGTGTCAGTTTGCTCTTGATCAAGAGAACTGTGTAGAGGCAAGCATTGGAAGGAAATCCTGGAGAAGGAAGGCCACTTAATCCTGGGGGAATTCTGCAGTTGTTGCATTTCGAACCATTGTAAACCTGCAGAATTCCCTCAGCACTAGGATGTAAGTGAGTAGTCGACTACTTGACTATTCACATTTCCCGCCCACCCCTTTGCTGCTGTATCTGAGGCAGCAAGTGGGGGGAGAAGCGGGAGCCTGCTTAAAAGCTGGTAACCCTCAGCACAATCTCTGCAGTGCCGCCTCCCTCCCCCCCCTGCTCCGCATCCCATGGACAGGGGCTGCTGCTGGAGCAGCCTCTGTTCACAGCCAGCTCAGGCCGCCGCAGTCAGGGGCTGCTTCGCCGGGTGTTCACGACAGCCCGGGTCACTGTGGACAGGGTCTGGCCACAAATAGAGGCTGCTCTGGCAGCCGCCCCTGTCCACAGGGGGATTTCCCTGCAGACAGGGGCTGCTGGACCCAGCATGAGCCGAGACTGAGCAAGCCTGGCAGCTGCCCCCTGCTGCGGCTCTGAAGTTTAAATGTAATAAGAGGCAGGCAGGCAGCCTGGCTCCTACTACATTTTAAACTGCAGAGCTGCAACAGCCGGCGGGGACAGCTTTCAGACCCAGCACAAGCTGGGACTGGGGCTTCCTCCCTTAACTAGAAATTCTACCAACTACATGACTAGTTAATTAGTCACTTCCTAACATCCCTACTCAGGACTACAACAAACTTAAGGAAACAGAGAAGCAGCACCCAGCAGGCTGTCATGGGAGCAGCAGAGACTTCTGTCCTCAACAGACAGGACAACTCTGAAGACCGAGAAAGGAAAGGGAGGAAGGGAGTGGTTGTTCCTCTTTCCAGCTATCCAGAAAAGGGTTTGTAAATCTATCAGACATCTCCCAGGTCAGCATTACTCAGTGTGGGATAGAAAATATTCTAGGGCTAACAGCTGAATAGATGCAAACTACGAAGGGAGGGAGGGCTCTTCTGCTTTCAAAAGAGAAAGTGCTGTATTAGGCAAAAGCTACCACAGGCCCAAGCAAGGTTCAGGGAGGGCACTCCAGCAGAAATCCCAGCACCTCCCACAACAGGGTGGGGGAAGAGTGGCAGGAAGAGGCACTGACTGGTCTACCTCTGAAAGCACCAACACCAAGAGACAGGAGACCTCCAGGGTATGTTGATATGTTTACTGGGACATGAAATAATGTCTTGGGCCATTTCCTCCACAGGCAAAGCAGAACCTCAGGCATGTGCCTGAGTTCAACTGGCACAAACTTACTCATTGCCAGGATTGATGTAACTGCCAACCAGAATAAAGAGGGTGCCTAGCACAGAAATCAGCTGTCCCTGCAGCTTATTCCATTGAGGAAGTAGGAAGGCAAGCCAAAGTTCAACATTTTTCCTGTAAATAGCCATAACAAATGCAAGTAATCATGGCACTAGCTTGTAAAGCACCATTCATTTGTCTTACACACACACACACAGAGGAAATATGGGCCCTGTCTTGTTACTTGATCCTTACAGCCAGAGACCCATTTTTAAATCATTATGGCTCTGCCTGGGCACAAGAATTCACTCCTATGAATCAGATTACAGTATTGGGGCCGTGGTGAGATACTTTTCTGAAGTAAGGGAAGAGTCTTCTACTCTAATAGAAATTGCATATAAACATAAGTACGTAAGTAAGTAAGGGAAGAATCATCTACTCTAATAGAAATTGCATATAAACATTTCTTCAAGGCTTACCAGCAGAAGCCAACCATACCCAGTGTAGATGTTGTTTTTACAGCCTATTCCATACAGGCATTTTAACAATAATTCAAACCATTCTTACGTTCATTGAATTTCTCAAAAGACAAGACTTTCAGAGGGGTAGCCATATTAGTCTATCACTTTAAAAACAATGAGCAGTCCTCAACTGATCAAGTGGGTTTTACCCTAGAAAGCTCATGATATTTTGTTAGTTTCTAAGATGCCACAGAACTGATTGTTGTATCATAAACTGTGTAATTTTATTGAATTCTCAACAGAGCTATGAATCTCCAAAACAGACTTTTTACCAGAACAGGCAGGACAGGCAGTTTCATATTAAGAAACCCCCAAAAGAACAAGTTGATCCCCTGGTTGTACAAGAAAACATGCATGCAGCCATGAATAGGTCTGTACAAATGACACTTACACCTATTTCCCTCATTTACATGTGCTGAATAAGCTGAAAATACTTATGTAGCCAACCTAGCTGCTATAGACAGAGCAGCAGATTTAGTACTGCTACTGCTTTCAGAAAGCCAGACACCTAGATTATATTAATTTGATCTTGTAAAGAATATCTTGTACCCATCAAATTATAACTACCACATAATAAAAAATACCCAATATCACAATTTCCACCTCTAGCTATTTTTTTCTGAAGCTGAACCAGGGTAGAGAAAGAGAATCATTGAGATAACAGTTAATAGCCCAGAATTATTGGTCACGTAATATGTGGCTAAGGGTGATCCAGTGGATATATTATGCTGGGACTTTCCAAAAGCCTGTGACAAGGCTCTTCACCAAAGGCTCTATCCCATGAACGCGTACTTTGCTTAATAGGAAGCGCCCTCTCATGGATCAGTAACTGGTTACAAAATAGGAAACAAAGGGTTGGAATAAATGGCCAATTTTCATAGTGGAGAGAGGTAAATAGAGGGGTCCCCTAAGGATCTGAACTGGAAGTAAGTCTGTTCAACATATTCATAAAAGTAGTAAGCTCATGGAAGACAGGTCCATCCATGCTTATGAGCTAAAACATGCTCTGGGTGTCCCTAAACCGCTGACTGCCAGAAGCCGGGGCTAGATGACAGGATGATCACTCAACTGCCTTGTTCGGTTCATTCCTACTGAAGCAGATGGCATTGGCCACTGGGGATGGATCGCCCAACTGCCTTGTTCAGTTCATTCCTACTGAAGCAGATGGCATTGGCCACTGTTGCAAGACAAGATCCTGGGCTAGATGGGTCATTGGCCATTCTTATAAATGACGACATGGTTACCCCTCTGTGACCATTCTTACGTTCTTATAAATTTGGGGTCAGGAACTGGATAGTTTGCAAGCTGTATCCATTGATATACAAAGCCATCACAATGAACAGCATCCCCATATGAAACACCGCATCTCTTGCCACGTCACTCCCAGCTGTGATTTAATGCTGGTCTCCTCAAGACCATGCATAACAAATCTTGAGCGCTGGCCAGGAGGGTGAAAGTTAGCAATGGAAAGGAAACAAGTGGTTGGTCAGTGTCAGATTTGCGGGGGAATACCACTGGAATATTTTGCATTGTCAAAATGCAGTAAACTGTAATAAATGGTTTAGGACAGAAAAGCCAACCTGTTTGTCTCTAATGGTATGTCTACACTACCCCGCTAGTTCCTCATTCCACGAGGAGTAACGGTAGTTCGGAGTAGGAAGCCTAGTCCGAACTACCTAGTTCGTGCCGCGTGTAGCCGCGCGGCACGGGGTTCGAACGAGCAGGGATTTAAAAATGGCGGCGCCCAGTTTATGCAAATGAAGCCCGGGAAATTCAAATCCCGGGCTTCATTTGCAAGTGCGGTATGCCTACATTACCCTCCTAGTTTGAACTAGGGTGGTACTGTAGACATACCCTAATTCTGTCCCTGTGTAATTTGACAGAAGCAAAAAAACAAAATATCAACTCACTAGAAACCACCATTTCTTTCTATTTCTTAGACCCTAGGTGGGGAACCTTCTGTCGCACCAGCCACACACAGTTCATCAGCATTAGCTGCTGGTGAGCCACCAGACAGTTTGTTTACCTGAGAGTCTGCCGGCACAGAGCCTCGCAGCTCCCAGCGGCCACAGTTCAATGTTCCTGGCCAACAGGAGCTTTAGGAAGCAGTGGTCCAGCAACTTTTCCCATCCCATAGTGTCATATGCCATAATATTCATATTTGTAATTCTCATATATTCACACAGGCCTCCTCACTGACTGCCATCACTGGCAGAAACAAGGATTCTGTACAGCACTGCACTGCTATCACAATTATTGTAAGCACAAGACACACAATCCTCCAGTATTTGCAGAGCCGCAAGAACCACAGAAAACATGATTTTACTAGAGGACAGATTGCTGTGGGACGTAGTGAGCACCGATTCAAGGTTTCTGGTGCAAAAATGCCTTACTGAAGTCTAGATATACCATGACTATCCCTTCCCCTTTATCCATTATCACTTCCTCCTTATCCACAAAGATTGTTAGCATTTTTTGGTAGGATATCAGGTTGGCTTTTCATGAGTTGTTCCTTACAAATCCATGCTGACTGTTACCTATCACCTTATTATATTCTAGAGATTTGCAAATGGATTCCTTCATTATCTGCTCTATTATCTTTCCTGTTAAGCTGACTGTAATTCCCTAGGTTGTCTTTATTTCATTCCTCCTTAATCATCTCCTCCTGTGCAGGACTTGGCAATGTGCAGACCATAGCGGATCGATTTGCAGCAATGGGACTCCCAAACG